AATGTGGTTCCTTGTCAAGGGGGACTGAGGATGGGAGGAGATTCCTTTGATGTAATTAACTCCTTGAGTACTTTATGAACTTGGAAAGGATAGAAATTATGTCTTCCAGAATCCACAATGTACTGCAGAGAGTTTTAGATTAGGAAAAATAGCCTGGTATTTAATCCTAGATCTGTGACAGTTAGCATATACCTCTCTCTAGGCCTTAATTTCCTTCTGTAAAATAGGAATAATGGCCAGGTACAGCGGCTCTTACCTGTAATCCCAGCACTCTGGGAAGCCAAGGCAAGTGTATTGCATAAGCTCAGGAGTTTGAGACCAGCCTGAGCAAAAGCGAGACCCCATCTCTAAAAATAGCTGGGCATTATGGCAGTCGCCTGAAGTTCCAGCTACTTGGGAGGCTGAGGCAAGAGAATTGCTTGAGCCCAAGAGTTTGAGGTTGCTATGAGCTGTCATAACACAGCACACTACCGAGGGTGACAAAATGAGACTCTGTCTCAAAAAAAAATAAGAGTAGTGATTCCATGCTGTGGATTCTTTACACGGGAGATCAAATGTTTATATCAAATGTTCACAGATAACAGCATTTTTTAACCTGTAAAGGAATCTAAGAAAGTGAGAGGTTATCATAAAATGTTCCATCGTGTTGTAAAAAAAAAAGCCAAAGAATTGGGGGAATCTGAATTTTGAGGTAGACTGTAATTTCTGCTCTATTTCTTGCTCAATATATTACCTTGGAAAAGTTTCTTCTCTTGTGAAATGAGAGTGACAAGGATTATGGTACTCGAGCTGGCTTAAACACCAATTCATAAGAGCCAATTGTCAAATATTTAGAAACCTTGGAAGCAGGTTGTTACACTTTTATTAGCTTGAAATCTGCTATGGTGGGAGTATTTATCCCAGGGAAATCAGCAGACACTACAAGTCAGGTTGTTGTTTTAAGGAGAGCTGATTTGCCAGTACATTGCTGATTGTATAAACAAGCCTCTATAAATTTTAAACACGTAGTTTTGTTCTATATCCATAGACCCTACCATGGTACGTGACACAGTTCCCAGTTATTATTGAGAAACTTTTGCCCAAGCTCAGTGAGCCCCCTATATTTACCTTTCTTCAAATCCTTTTCTACAAAATAACTTTTTAAAATAAGATAACATATGGGCGGCACCTATGGCTCAAGTAGAGCGCCAGTCCCATATACCGGAGGTGGGGAGTTCAAACCCAGCACCAGCCCAAAAACTGCAAAAAAAAAAAAAAAAGATAACATAAATAAAAGCCTAATTCAGTGCATAAAACACAGTAGGCCATAAATTGTGAGTCTCCATAATTGAGCCAATGATCTTCTTTCCAAACCTTTTCTTCTGGCTTTTCATATCTCAGTTATTAGCATTGCCTGTCTATTCATTATTTCAAGTAAATTGTGTGGTTTTGGGGTTTGTTTATTTTTGAGACAGTCTCACTCTGTCACTCTGGGTAGAGTGCCATGGCATCAGCATAGCTCACAGCAATCTCAAAATCTTATCCTCTTGCCTCAGCCTCCCAAGTAGCTGGGACTATAGGCACCCACCACAATGCCTGGATAGTTTTCTCTATTTTTCATAGAAACAGGGTCTCAATCTTGCTCAGGCTGGTCTGGAACTCCTGAGTTCAAGCAACCCATACACCTTAGCATCCCAGAACACTAGAATTACAGCCACCACCTCCAGATCCAAGTAAGTTATTTGAAAAGTTTTCCTCCATGTTTTGCCTATAGTTGATGTTCTGTAAATATTCATGGAATAAAGGAGGTGGAAATAAAAAAATAAATAAATAAAAAATAAAATCTTGTGAATGGACAAATAAATAAATAAATAAAAATAAAAGAAAAGTCTTCCTTTCTCTCTTTCCCTCACTTACCCTCATGTCTAATCAATTACTAGATCTTAATAATTCCACCTCTTAAATTCACCCCATCCTCCTCATTGCCATTGCCACTGGTTTAGGCCCTCATCATTTCTTACTTGAACTCCACCTCCTAACTGGACCTCCAGTCTTTTTCTTTTAGTCCAACCTCTGCTTCCATAGATGTGATTTTAATTTAGAAACCTGATCTAACCACTCCTTTCCTTAAAATTCCTTAATGGCCCAGTTAGACTTATATCTTTATTGGTCATGTAAGTGGGGCAAAGCAAATATCCTTTCAAAACTCAGGCAAACTGGTGTTTGTCTTGAATCTTGTCAAAGGAAACAAATGAAAAAAAAATACTCAAATGTAAAACCAAATTAATGTTTTATAGATCCTGGGAAAAAGCACTTTCAGCAACGTATAACAATGTAAAGCATTTCTTTTTCTCATTTTGTAATTCTTTCCTGTGAAATAGCTCGGAATGTCAGTTCTGTTTTGTCACAACATTGATAATTGAGCAAGGAAATGTAATTTGGATTGTAAAATTCTTGCTTTACCAAAAAGTCTTTAAACTGTGAAAAAAAAGAATTCAAAATAATTGTTTTAAGGATCTAATATATGGAAACTAAAAGGTTGATCTTGCAGACGTAGAGAATAGAACGGTGGTTACCAGAGCCTGAGGGCTATGGGGAGAGAATACAAAATTTCATTTAGATAGGAGGATAAATTCAAGAAATCAACTGTACAACAGGATGACTATAGTTAATAATAATATCATCTATTGGTAACAAATGCTAAGAGTAAACTTTAAATATTCTCACCACAAAATATGTCAGGTAATGCCCATATTAAGTAGCCAGATTTAGCCATTTCATAATGTATCCGTATTTTAAAATGTGATGTCTCAAAAATAAATCAAATGTGATGTCGTACAAAATAAACACATATAATTTTACCTATCAATTTAAAATAACCAATGAACGTTTTAAGTTTCCTAATAAAATCTTTTTGAATCCTTAAAAAAAAAAAATTCCTTAATGGCTCTGTGTTGTCCTGAGATTAAAATCCACAAGGTTTAGCTTGTCAACAGGCCCACCATAATCTGACCTTTGCCTGCCTTTTCCCAGAGTTACCGCCTCCTGCTCCCCAGCACTGCCTGGAATGCCTCATCTTCCTTCCATTCATCACGCATGACTCAAGTCAAACCAAATTTTTCTCTGACATTTATAGACATATTTAATATTTATTTTTCTTTCTTTCTTTCTTTTTTGGGACAGAGTCTCACTATGTTGCCCTCAGTAGAGTGCCATGGCATCACAGCTCACAACAACCCCCAACTCTTGGGCTTAAGTGATTCTCTTGCCTCAGCCTCCCAAATAGCTGGGAGTATAGGTGCCCGCCACAACCCCAGGCTTTTTTTTTTTTTCAGCCTTCATTGTTGTTTTGTTTGGCAGGGGGGCTGGTTCAAACCCCCCAGCTCTGTTGTATATGGCTGGTGCCCTAGCCGCTTGAACTACAGGCGCTGAGCCTAGTTTTTCTATTTTTAGTAGAAATGGAGTCTTAGGCTCGGTGCCTGTGGTTCAAGCGGCTAAGTCACCAGCCATGTACACATGAGCTGGCAGGATCGAGATCGAATCCAGCCCAGGCCTGGGCCCACCAAACAATAATGACGGCTGCAACCAAAAGACAGCTGGCCACTGTGGCGGGCGCCTGTGGTCCCAGCTACTTGGGAGACTGAGGCAAGAGACTTGCTTGAGCCTAGGAGTTGGAGGTTGCT